GAACCACTGAGAATTAACCATTAAAACTGACTTCAAAGAACAGAGAGGAAAAGAAAATGGTAACCCTTCATGAATATGAACTTATGCAACAAAGAAGGAGGATCATAAAACATACCTGGAATCTGAATTGGTGTTGTGTGCAAGAAGAAGAAAAAGGGAGCAGAGCGCAATGTGAGTGAGAGTCTCAATTAGGGTTCTAATGTGAAGTGAACGGCTAGGGTTCCACAAAAGAAATGTTCTTTTAACTTCTAAGCATGTGGGATTTTTGTTTTAATTGGACCCAAGCCCGTCTCTCTCAGCTCAGCGCTTCAACTCCAGTGAGCTTTTTAATTCTAGATGCTGAGCCATTGAAAAGCGTTGAGCGCTTAGGCTCCAGAGGCTCCCTAAAATTTTGTTCCTCCCAGACACTCAACAACTCAGAGGCACTGAGCGCTTTGCTTCCAGAGACTACTCTTTAAAAATTTTCACATGAGGCGTTGAGTTGCTTAAAGGCGTTGGGCACCTTGATCCCATAGGCTACTCTGTTTTGCAACTGATATGAGGGGCTGAGCCCTTCACAGGAGTTGAGCCCTTACTTCCTGGAACAAAAAATTTATTACCTAACCTTGTATCTCCAACAAGCACACCTGAGAAGGGCTCAACCCCTGTGAAGGCATGTTGACTGGGTTGCCTCCCAGTAAATGGAATTAAGTTCAAAGCATGTTGACTGGGTTGCCTCCCAGTAAACGCTTCTTTATTGTCATTAGCTTGACACTTCACTCAGTCATGGATCATTGAGATGAATAACAGTGGTATGTTTCTCAACCTCACCACCTAAGTATGGCTTAATCCTCTGTCCATTCACCATCCAAGATCTTCCAGAATTTGGATCTTCCAACTCCACTACCCCATAAGGTTTGACTGATTTGATAAAAAAAAGGGCCTGACCATTTGGACTTAAGCTTTCCAGGGAATAATCTCAACCTGAAATTGAACAACACCTGTTGGCTTAGTTGGAAGTTTCTCTGTACAATCTTCCTTTCATGGTAGGACTTAACTTTGCTCTTATAGATTCAGGAAGATTCATAGGCCTGTAACCGCATTTCCTCAAGCTCATGTAATTGGAGCTTTCTTTTTTCACCTGCAGCTTTCACATCAAAGTTTAATGCTTTCAAAGCCCAATAGGCCCTGTGTTCCAACTCCACTGGGAGATGACAAGCCTTTCCATATACAAGCTAAAATAGAGAGAGTCCAATTGGAGTTTTATATGCTGTCCTGTAAGCCCACAATGTATCATCCAACTTCAAGGACCAATCTTTCCTTGAGCTAGCCACAGTCTTTTCCAAAATTCTCTTCAACTCCCTATTAGAAACCTCTGCCTGTCCATTTGTTTGACGATGGTAAGGTGTAGCTACTTTGTGTCTCACACCATAATGCTCTAACACCTTCTTCAGCTGTGAATTACAAAAATGAGAACCACCATCGCTAATGAGCACTCTCGGTGTTCCAAATCTGGTAAAGATATTCTTCTTTAAGAACTTGATCACCGTACGTGCATCAGCGTTCTGAGTTGCCATGGCTTCCACCCATTTAGAAACATAGTCCACAGCAACCAGAATGTACTCATTAGAATAGGAAGATGGAAGTGGCCCTACAAAATCAATTCCCCAGCAGTCAAAGACTTCAACTTCAAGAATGTTTTGCAAAGGCAACTCATGTCTTTTTGGAAATTCCTCTAGTTCTCTGACACTTATCACAATTTTTGCAGTGCTCATGAGAATCTTTAAAGATGGTAGGCCAATAAAATCCAGACTGAAGAATTTTTGCTATTGTGCGATCTCCATTGTAGTGACCTCCATAAGGTGAATTGTGGCAGTTCCACAAAATATCCTTAACTTCTGCACCTAAAACACATCTTCTCAACAAACCATCAGCACCAATCTTAAATAAATAAGGATCATCCCACACATAGTAAGCAGAATCCTTGAAGAATTTCTTTCTCTGCTGCCAATTGAGATCTTCTGGAATAACCCCGACTGCCTTAAAATTCGCCATATCAGCAAAACAAGGCCTTTCTTGCATAGAGAATAATTTCTCATCTGGAAATTCCTCATGGATTACACTTTCAAGTATGGTCACCTCTTCATTTTCTAGTCTTGACAGATGATCTACAATGTGGTTTTCATAGCCTTTCTTATCTTTGATTTAAATCAAATTCCTGTAACAACAGAATCCATCTTATCAGCCTTGGTTTGGAATCAGATTTAGTCAACAAATATTTAATGGCTGCATGGTCAGTGAACACAGTAATTTTAGAACCAATCAAATAAGAACGAAATTTCTCAAGTGCATAAACTATTGCAAGTAGTTCTTTTTTTGTGGTTGCATAATTCATTTGAGTTTCATTCAAAACCTAACTTGCATAGTGTATGTAATAGACTATGGCCAAGGCTAAGGAATCCAAGAGGTGATACATTGAAGGAACCAAGAGGAATGAGATGATGGACCATGGGCCAAGGGTCCAATCTCTAAAGCTATGGCCACCTTGAAGACCAGTGGGCTTTCCAAGCCCAAGGTACTCTTCAATTCGGACCACTCTATCATCAAGAGAAGGCATAGTTCTAGTTGTAAATATCTTGTACATAGTTCTCTTGTATAGGCTTATTTTTGCCTTTGTATTTGTGAGGCACTTTAGTTTCTTTTATTAGTCATTATATATTGATTCTAGGGTGGGTTACTTGGAGAGTTTGACTCCATTTAACCTCCTTTGTTGAAACACTCATTTTCTATTTTTTTAGTAGGAAAAGAGGGGTGGCATTTAGCAATGCTTGAAGGTGTGACTAGTAATTGGGCCAGAATTTGGCCTAGGCAAAATTTTACATATTGGACTCATTTTGCTCCTAATTTTTCATAGATTTGATTTAGCTAGGTTTAATCATCATTGGATGAACCTAAAAAAACCAAATCAAACATTTTTGAAATTAATTCAATGAGCCAAAAGAGACCAAATCTGCCCACCTTGCCTAGTCTCCTTTCTTTGACCGAATTGTTTCTCTAACCTTCAAGGAGATGAGAAGCTTGTGCTACAAGCTTCTCCTTATCTTGCTTCCCAAGCAAGCTAAGTCAGAATCTTTCTCCACAAGTTTCTAAACTCACCTAGAAGGTCAACTAACCTTACCATGGTTCCTAGTGAACCATGGTTAAGGTTAGCTTGCTCCTTAAGCTACCTACCTCTATATATTTGTAATTTCTACTCTTGTAATCACTTTTGACATATTTTGAGAAATAGAATTCAGAATTCTCTCTCATTTCAAGAGTCCAATTTCGTGGAGAATCTCCTTCTCCTAGAAGCTTCACAAAGGAACTTCTCCTTTGTGCTTGGTTCCTCAAGTTTCTCTCCTTCAAGAGAAACTGAACCACCTTGGGAAGCATCTTCCAGCTTTTGAAGCCTGAACTCATCCAAATCTTCCATTGGCGTGAAGAACCTCAAGATAAGAAGGGACTTAGCATGGTTCAACTTGAAGAATATCAATCTTCTACAAGTAGTTCCATCAGTATGACTTGAAAAATCTTATTTTTCCTTTGACCCAAAATAGCACCTACTGCATAGTCACTAGCATCACACATTAGTTCAAAATCAATTCACAAGATGCTGAACACAATTTTTGTTTCATTCCAATCAGGGCTAGTGATTACATACGTTGAACACAATTTTTGTTTTAATAATGAAAAAGCAGACAAGAAATTATCAGCAAATTGAAATTTAACATCTTTCACGAGAAGATTGCTAAGTGGTTTAGCGATCTTTGAAAAATCTTAAATGAACCGCCTATAGAATCCAGCATGTCCTAGAAAGCTTCTGATTCCTTTCACATTTGTTGGTGGAGGACGCTTAGAGATGACCTCAACTTTGGCTAGATCCACCTCAATGCCTCTTCTAGAAATCTTGTGGCCAAGCACTATTCCTTCAGTCACCATAAAATGGCATTTTTCCCAGTTAAGAACCAAGATCAGAAAATATGGCTAGCATACACCTTTGAAATGTGGCTAGTGCGTTACATAATCCAAATGGCACTTTCCTGTATGGAAAAACACCAAAAGGACATGTGAATGTTGTCTTCTCTTGGTCCTTCGGGTCCACTGCTATCTAATTGTACCCAGAATAACCATCCAAAAAGTAGTAGTAGGCTGGACCCGCCAACCTCTCTAACATCCGGTCCATGAAGGATAAGGCTAAGTGATCCTTCCTTGTTGCCTGGTTCAGTTTCCGATAATCAATACACATTCGCCAACCAGTGACTGTTCTTGTAGGTATCAATTCATTTTTGTCATTCATCACCACTTTCATGCCTCCTTTCTTAGGAACCACTTGAATAGGGATAACCCAGGCACTATCGGAGATAGGATAGATCATGCCAGCTTCAAGTAACTTAATCACCTCTTTTCTGACCACCTCCTTCATTGTTGGTGCATCAAGATTCGGTGCATGTAGTATGAAGGACTAATACCTTTTAGATCAGACAAAGTCCATCCAGTAGCTCCTTCATTCGCCTTTAGAACTTCAACTAACTTCTTTTCCTCCTCCATTGATACAGAACTGCTGATTATGACTGGTTTGCCACCATTTGCTTCTAAAAACACATATTTGAGATGACTTGGAAATTGCTTCAGTTCTAACTTTTGAGATTGAGACTTTTCCTCCTTCTTTAAATCTTGCACATTTGTAGAATTAGGAGAAATCTCCTTTGCTTTATCCAACTCCTCCAAATATTTCTGAATTTCTTTTTCCTCCTCCTCATTGGTATCAATGACTGCATTCACCAATGCTTTCTCTAATGGTGTGGCTACTGAGAATTTTCTTTGAGCTTCCATACACACTTCATCAATCACATCCACTCTAAAGCAACCTTTCTTATCATTTGGATGTTTCATGGCTTCAAAAACATTAAAATTCACCTCATTATCCTGCACTCTAACCTTGAGTTTTCCATCATCAACATCAATGATGACCTTGGATGTTTTCATGAATGGTCGTGTCCCAGAATGAGAGGAACTTCAGAATCCTCCTCCATGTCCATGACAATAAAATCAACTGGAAACAAAAATTTACCAACCTTAACCAAGAGGTCTTCAACAATACCATGAGGATACTTTATAGATCTATCAGCCAGCTGCAGAGTCATCCTGGTAGGTCCCACCCCCCCACCACCTATCCTCTGTAACATAGATAAGGGCATAAGATTGATACTAGCCCCTAAGTCTAACAATGCCTTCCCCACAGAGAGATTACCAATGGTGACTGGCAAAGTGAAACTCCCTGGGTCTCTAGATTTTTGTAGAAGTAACTTCTGAATTATAGCACTGCAACCTGCCTCTAACTCCACTGTTCCATCCTCACTCAATTTTCTATTCTTTGTCATATGCTCCTTCATGAATCTTGCATAAGATGACATCTGTTCTAAAGCCTCTACAAAGGGTATGTTGATCTGCAACCTCTTGATTATATCAAGGAACCTTGCAAACTGGCGTTCCTTGTCTTTCTTTGATGGAGGAGGCCTAACAACTTCTTTCCCCTTCTTCTTACACTCCTCCCTCACATCTCCATCTCTACTCTCATTTTTCTCACTATCTTTTTATTTTTCTCATTTTTTCTGCCTCTTTATTCAACTCCACCTCTTTCTCACCTTCCAACTCAACTTCACTCTTATCTTCATCCACTCCATCTTTATTTTCTCTCAAATTATCACAAATCCCATTTCCTATCATAGTGCCTCTCCTGGTTGTAATTGACTGATAGTGCCCTTTAGGATTGACCTGTGTATTGGCTGAGAAATTGTTGCTTTGCTGATCTGCCAATTGCTTAGCCAACTGCCCTATTTGTACTTCCAGATTTCTGATAGAAGCTTCAATATTTTTTTGATTGGTTGTGGAAACCTGCATAAATTGTGTAAGAGCTTCCTCCATTTTTGATAACCTGTCTGGCTGATAAGAAGGTTGATTTTGATATGGCTTCTGTGGAGGTTGCCTTTGTGATGGCCCTGCTTCTTGCTTCCACCCAGAATACTGATTTTGATTATTCCTCCAGCCTTGATTCTGATTGTAATTGCCAGAGAAATTCCCTTGCCTTCCTGGATTATTCATGTAATTCACTTCCTCCTCCTGGTCTGGTTCAGAGATGGTGCAATGTCCATTTGGATGATCACCTGCACAAAAATCACATCTCATTACCTGTTGAGGGCGTGAAGATGATCCCACTTGAAGCTTGGACATCTGTTTCTTTAACTCTTCCATCTGCTGAGAAAGATGCTTATTCTGAGCTAGAATTGCATTTTGAGTATCCAGTTCCAGAATTCCCCTTTTTGTGGGTTGGCTTCTATCATGGTGAGCTTGGTAATCACTGGCTGCCAAAGCATCAATGATAGTGATTGCTTCCTCAGAATCCTTCATCATCATAGAACCACCTGCAGAAACATCCAATAACATTTTTGTTTGCGGCCTTAACCCATTACAGAACATGTTGAGCTGTGCAACATCATCAAACCCATGATTTGGGCATTTTCTCAATAAGGACTTATATCTTTCCCAAGCTTCACACAAAGGTTCATCAGCACCTTGAGAGAAGGTTGCTATTGCTAATTTAGCACTTATATATCTGGAAAGGGGAAAGAATCTAGCCAGAAACTTCCGCTCTACGTCCTCCCATCTAGTCAAGCTCTGATTTGGATGGGCCTATAGCCATGTCTTGTCTTTACCTGTCAAAGAAAAGGGAACAAATATACTGCTTCTTCATCTTCTCCAGGAACGCCCATAGTGCCAATGAGCTCATAGAAAGTAGATAGATGAGTGTAGGGATCTTCATGGTCCATCCCTGCAAATTGATTGGCAGTTATGAGAGATAATAGTGCTGGTTTCATTTCCACCCCCTTGGTTGGCCTGGCAATACTAGAGAAGTTCCTAGGACCCAACTGATGATTATATTCTCCTAAGAGTTTCCTTGGAGGATGATGATGTGGTCTATCACCACCCGGTCCATTGATTTAGGAGTAGAATGTTGAGTTGAAACTAAGGTGGAAGTACCTTCTTGTTCCTGTCTTTCCTGTTCAAGCTTCCTTTGTCGCCTTCTTTTTCTATTATTTTTCCTAGCTATTTTCTCAATCTCTGGATCAAATAGTAAATGCTCAGTAGGAATTTTACCTCGCATACAAAGATTGACTTAAATAGAAAAGTTAGAACAATCAGGTAAAGAATATATTTAACAAAAAGAAAACAGAAAAAAATATATACAACAAGCTACATTAAGAATAATAAAAATCACAAACTATCTTGACATAATTCCCCGGCAACGGGGCCAAGAAACTTGTTGGTTTTCTGAGCAAGCACACCCAGGTCTCTGTAATATAGTTAAAAGGTTGTCGATCCTCAGGGACTTGTGAAGTAAGCTTTGATTTCTATTATACTAATTGGTACTTGTAAATTTAAAACTTGAGTAATTACACATGTTCAAAATTTGATGTGAATGATAGATCAAACTTAAGTAACCAAAAGTCAGATTAGATTTAAGAAAATAGATATGAGAAATAGTTGGGATTAGATTTCATCAATCTCCCTCCTATGCGTTCCTATTGATTATTTCAAATGATTCCATTACTCATGGCCATTGAGTTCTCTATATTCATTCATACCCAATTCCTTGACATAAGAAATTCTAAGATATTTAACTCAATGAATGATTCCTCACTTCGTTCAGTTAAATATCCTGTATTAAGAGTCAGAACTTATTACAACTATTAATTCCAAAATCATTCCGGATTTTTGAAACTAATAGGTGATTCATTCCAAGTCTAGATTCAGAAAAAGTTTTCCAACCAAATTCTAAATCCGAAATCAAAGATAAATGATCAGTTCATCAAAGTATTAAGAACAGAAACAAATCACTGACATTGAGTAATAGATGAGATATATATATGAATCAAAGAGGAATACAAAGGAGTTCGATGATTACATCAATCCAAACCCTAGAGCTTTAGCTCTCCATGGTACAAGAAATCACAGAAAAACAAGAAGAAAGGTAGAAGAAAGAGATCCTCTGAAGAATCGCGTCCCCACGAGCTCCAAAGTGCTCTATTTTCTGGTTCCTCTATGTTCTTCTCTTCGTGCAACTTGTGATGCCCCTTTTTCTTTATCCTCTACCATTTTATAAGTGCTGGAATTAAAACAGAGTAGGTAGGAAAGAGAAGAATCCGCTCAATGCCTTAAAATGACTAAGCGGTTTGAAGAATTCTTCATCATGAAGTAATATGAAGGGCTAAGCCCCTCAAATCTGTTGAGCGCCTGAGAGATTCTTCACTATTAAGCAAGCACAAGGGGTTGGGCGCTTCAGATCCGCTGAGTGCTCAGGAGGCAGAGAACACTCCTTCTTCCAGGGCCAAAACTGCTCAACGCCTTGGAGTGGCTGAGCGCCTCCAGTTTGGTGCACTTTTGAAGGGCTCTCTGGCTTGAAAGCGCTCAACCCTTTTGAAGGGCTGAGCCGTTTGCCTCCAAACTTCAAAACCTACAAAATGAATACAAAATATGATCAAAAGACTCATCGCTCCCTGTACTAACATAAATCAAAAGTCCCTCTTTGATTCTAAGCATATATTGACCAAAATTATATCAATATGTACAAAAATTGTGCTAGATAAGTGTCTCAAATTCATATTTCATCAGACTAGTTAGACACTTGTCGCCACCGGCCCGAAACGGGCTTTCGGCATTCGCGAAGGATGGTTGGACTCTTTTATTTGTTTGAAAATATGGATTGCTAGAATGACTTATTCTCAAACTGAGACCTCGTCAAACGAGCAATTTTATTAAAAGGCTCACCAATCCATGTTAATCCCAAGCGGGACCCTCCATGGATTAGCGGTTTTCATAAAAAGGAAGGGTTCATGGAGTCGCCACCAATGTTTTACTCAAAACATTGGAAAAAGAAGTTTAAGGCAATCGATT